CTCTCAAAGTGTACCAGATTGATGCTTTCAACTTCAATATTTAAAAAAAAATCTTCCCGGGGGAGCATGCCCCCGGACCCCCCGAGAGGAGGCGACGACCCCCCTAAAGGATGTTCGGTCCACCCCCCACTTATAAAAAATAGCACTGTACCCCTGCACCGATCCCCCCCCAACCCAACGACTCCTGGGCTAAGCCCCGGATCTCCTACAATCCTAAATCCGCCTCTGGTGCAGTTGTCACTACCCGATCTGCAGCTCTGCAGATCGCTGCAGTGCGCATGTGCGAGATGGTCCGCCATATTGGACAACTCTGTACAGCAACCCAAGAAGGACACTTGACACAGTGGCTTTTGGCAAAGCTCAAAAATAAAACTCGAGAGAGATGAGTTATTGTTATTACAACGTGACTTCACTATTATTTAACAACTCTTTTTATTGGGTTCTTTTATTTGGGGTTAAGAACATTGTCAGAATAAGTGAGAAATGAATTTAACTTCTGTTAGACAGCTATCTTACTGAATAAATATTTACTGTGAATGTATGCAAAAATGTATGGCATATAGCTGTCTAACAGAAGTTAAATCCATTTCTCACTTACAGCAGTGACGAGTCCTAAAACCCGGAAGTGAGTTAGCATTTTACCACTACCGGTTCCCTCGTCTCAGAGTCAATGGGATTTCTCCATAGGATTTGGGAAAATAGCTCGAAATAAGGTCTGTGGTTGACACAAATTTAAGAGACGGATCACGTGTTGTTCTATGACATTAAATACATCCGACCCTGCTGTACTCGGCTGTAGATCGTTTATAGCATAATGTTATCATTTTTGCTTCTGGCGATTAGATTTATGATTAGAAAATTATAAAAGTAGGGTAGACATGTGGAGATTATCAGTCTGAACAAAACGTGCATTTATCAAACAGGTTTGTTTTCCACAGACCTTATTTCCAAAATCCTATGGAGAAATCCCATTGCTTTTTGGTCGAGGGAACCCATGCACAGTTTACTTCCGAGTAAATACGTCATCCCTGCACCACTTTATTATCAGGTAAATGTACTTTTCACAGAATAATATATTTAAAGTATTGGAGTTTGTAAAAACATGTAAACATTTACTTGAAATACTGTGTGATTAGTAAAGTACATGCAAGTGCATATTGCTGGTGGACATAAGCCTAGATACTGTACATTTTTCTACCTCGAAACAAAATCTAAAACAATTCACTACCCAGAGTTGTAAAAGCCTGTCAAACTGTGCAGTTCTTCAGCTTTTAATAAGCATTCAAACCCACAGATGCATAAAGAAAACATCCCTCCTGGATCATATTTTTTTGTCTCACTGTTACTTAAAACAACACGCCCCCCACAAATGCAGCATTATTAACACAGGGCTGTTTTCTATCTTATGGAAAAAAACAAATACAGCGTCAAAAACTGATTCAATGTATGGACTCTGAAAATATCCTTTAACATAACAGACACAGGAGACTGAGAAAGAGAGAAGGACAATACAGCGGGAATTAGCATGCAAAGAGGACCAGAGCAGTAACGACACCCCAAAATAGAATTTGGGACAAATGAAAGCGAGGGATCTGATCTGCAGCCGGGACGTGAGGAGACGCAACTGGTTTATGAATGCCCAACATTCCTCTAATAATATAAAATTCCAGGCTAGGAGTGAAACTTGGCAATACAGGAAAAAGGTTCAAGTCCAACTCAAGTTTCAGCTGCTCTTAGGGCTGTGACGTGTTCCTGCTGAATGACGTGACCATTTAATTGAAATCTTACACGGATAAAGTATTTGATCATAATAGTTTGTTTGCATTCATGTCTTGTTTTCCACTGGTACAAAAATATATAGATTTACTCAAATACTGTACTTTGTTCTCCAAATGTATGCTTTTGTATACATCAACCTCACCACACCTAAAGGGGAAATATTGCACTTTTACTCAAACAGTAATCTCACAACAGTTACTTTGCAGGTAGTTGGAACAGAATACATTTAGAATAAATTATCAAATATTCATGAAAGTTAAGCTACCCTGCAGTATACAAAGTAATTACAATAAGCTCTCCCATAGCAGCTGCAACAGTACGCATTCATAATTTAAAATTAAAAACCACTCTGTATATCCTTTACTTTTTTTATACTGAACTTTTTTCTAAGTTACATTTTGAAATGAATCCTTTACTTGTAACAGAATATTTCTACACTGTGGTATCAGTATTTTTGGCTGAAGTAAAAGGGTACATCTTCCAACAGTAGCCTACTGTTTTGACAAAAATGCCACATCAACATATCCGAACATAGCAAATGTTCCCATAGGTTACGTGTTTCCCATCTCCCATGCCTGGCCTTTCCCACAGACGAACTGAACAAGGCATGGCTGAGATACAAAGTCTAACCTAGAGCACTTTCTCCAGCCCATTACCCTCTCCGCCACGCCTCTTATAGAGAGACCGAACGCCGGAGGAGGTGCAGGGTCTCTGTTGCTGATACACACGAGGCCGATGCCAACATAAACCCCGGAGGCTCCGAGCTGCCCGTCCTCTCAGCAGCCAATACCTGGACACGGATCCTGCTGGAAGTTAAATAGACAAGCCGTCATTAACGGGAAACCTTTTAGCGAGAATGCCACGCATGAGTGATGTATATCTGTGACAGCTGAGACTTCAGCCTGTAGCAGTGGAGTGGTTTATATTAAGGGAGGCCTGCATGTATACGCTGCGCTCAGAGCACAAGTCTGTCATTACTGATTCTTTAGCTGTGTGACAACCGTTGACTTTTTCTTTAAAGTGGCACTTTATCTCAAAATGCTATTCCTGCAGGATTGTTAACTTTTGAGGAGGAAAAAAAAAATTCAAATTTGAAGGCAAATGGTCTCATAAATGCTTGTGCAAAGTATGGGTCTACTGAAATGTCCTAATGTTAGCTAAATGAAGTATATAACTAAATCTCATCATTTCTATACCAATTGCAAGATGAAATCTGGAAAGCTGATTTTTTTTTGTGCTCAAATACAAATCTGAATAAATCTAACAACACAGAGGGATTATTTATAAATCAAGGCAACATCAATTTGCTTTTTGTGAAAGCTAATATATATTTGTACTTAAGTCCTTGTACACATACACAGATTAAATTTACAAAGAGAGAGACATGTCGTAGTTTTTTGTGTCAATCACAAATAAATTATGATATTGAAGTGAAGATAATAAAGTCAAAGTCAAAAAAGCTAAACTTATCTACACAGAAAGAATGCATAAATAATGAAAATGTGTTAGTTTAGACTGCAATAAACATCAGCAATAAGAGCAAAAACACCAAGAATAAATAAAAACAGCTCCTCATATTAAAAAAAACATAGGCCTATATCTCAGCCAAAGTTAGACTCATTACGTTACACTGGAAAAAGCTCTCCTGAGACATTTTCTAATAAACCAATGAAGAATAGTTGTAAATCTCGTTAATGAATACCTGCACAGCAAGAGAGGTGCCGGTGGTGAACGAGACTTCACAATACATGCACGAGGCCCAAACCAGTAAATTGTTTATTAATTTTGTATTTATAACGATCTCATTTGAACTTAATAGGTGCTTAAAGAGGTTTTGTAAAAGTGAAAAAAACGCATCTTAAAATAGAGCTTTGATTTTTCAAAGTTAGTTATATTTTATTTTATATATTTAAGAAATCTGGTTTATGTTGGATTGCATATGTGGCCGATACAATGTTGTGTAACAGAGACAAGACATGAGTTATGTCTCGAGTCATAATGAATTAGTTAATTATACCGGAAGATAAGAACGGGAGAGAGGGAGAGAGAGAGAAAGAGAGAGAGAGCGTGGGCGGAGTGAAATGTCCGCGGCATGGATACTCAATTAAACTAGGCCTGAGAGCCGCAGTTCAAACAAAGTTAAGAAATATTTCGTTTCAACCATTTATAATATAAGTCAGGCAATTTAAAAGAATAAAAAGAATACTGATAACAATAATTAACGTGGTGCTTAATTATTTAGATGCAATAATAATGAACTGCATTTAACATGGTGTTAATCAGAAACATATATAACTAAACTAATAATAAAGCATGTATAATGTCAGAATTATGAAGATATATTTTCCAAATGTTTCGTCATTTATAAACCTCGAAAATGGCTTCAAGAGAACATGTATTACGGACTTGACTTGAGGTTATTTGTCCAATGCACCTTTCGACAGGCATAACGATCTCTTGTTTCCTAAAATGGCTTTAATTCAGATGTAGCCTATGCATGCCAAGAAACAGCAAAGTGCTGGCGCGAAGTCGTCTTACCAAATTGTGAAAGTGCACGAAGCGAAATACCATAATGAGCATCATAGGACTAATGGATTATAATTAATTTAATATTAAGAAGTGGACAATTTCTTAGATTGCACGACTCAAAGTTGTTTTCGTTGATGGGCTCTAATTGTCCATCACTAAGTGGATATATCCGCACTGACATATACTTCGCACTTAATGTCAAACGGTTAACGTTGTTTGGTTTAATTTGGCTCACTAAAGCACATCCACAGAGAAAATATTCAAGTAGGCCTAATATACGCGGTTTACTTTAAGCACTGTTATTGGGCATAATTTCCCGGCTTGATCCTATTATTTCTGCATTCAGGAGGCATTGGATTTAACACATAACGAATCGTGGCTCTTGTGACAGATGGAAACAACTTTTTTGTATGCTCTAAAGTTTGATACAAAGAGCAGTCAAAGGTTGCTGTGTTCAGCCATGCATCAGTCGGAATCAAAGCAGTTATATTCATCCTCTAATTGCATTAATGTCATGTGTTGTGTCTCCCGCGTGTTTACCAAAAAAGCTTTGCCCCTTCTTAGCTTGACCTCCCATTTCTGCAGGCTGCATAATAGCGCAGACGGGAGCTCGCTGTGGGCCTATACTTCAGATGTGTGTGGAGTGGTGTGTGTGTGTGTGTGTCAGATTCACTGTAGGCTACTGAGGCGGCATCAGCTTAAGCAAGGCATTTCTATTTACCCCGACAAACCTTCAGGGGGCTTTTAGCATTTGTTCAGTCTGCAGTCTCTGGAAAACGTCGGATTCATTTTTTTAACCAGTCCCAGATGCGGCAGCGTGAGAGTGTGTGTGCATGAGCGCGTCAGTGTGAGTTTGCCAGTGCATGAGTATTTGGGAAGAGAATATCTGCCGTCCATACCGAAGGGGAGGAGAGAAAACCCGTGAGGATTTTTTTTTTTTTAATTAACTTTTTAGGTATGAACGCAGCGTGCGTCTCATACTGCGATATGACATCGATGGATTCATATTATAGCGCGTCCACTCCGCAGGGTAGGGATCACCAGGCGAACCCGTTCAGGACTTTCCCGAGCTCTGAGACCAAATACAGCCCCACGTTCATCCCGGGGAAAGGACAGGCTTACGGAGAGAAGTCCCGCAGTCCTTTCCAGACCGAGTGCCAGTCTCTGGACGGCTCGGAGGAGGGCAGCTTCAACAAATACCAGCTCTTCCTGCAGAGACCGAGCTGCAAAACTCCGCCCGAAGGAAGCAAGCTGCACGCGGACAGCGGACACAACGGGAGCCTCATCCCCTGCTATGGTGAGTGCCATGAGAGAAACACTGCATTTAAACTGAGGCAACATATCAAGATCAGGTTCACGGAAATGTGGGGAAAAAAGGGGAGATTGGCAGGTTTAATGGAAACGGAATGTAGTGTGAAATATTGAACGTGAAGGTAATTATGTGTGAGCGAAAAGCAGAGAGGAGGAGAGGGTAAACCCACCAGGACTTACATAAAAAAACGGAACACAACTTGTTAAAAAATCACATCATATAGGCTAACTTGAGTTACGTTTTATTTAAAAACTACCGATGGCAACTTTGAGCTAAAACAAGAAAAAAAATACCCCTTGTCCACCATTTGCAATACACAACCTTTCGAAATTCAGATAACATTTGCTTGGAATAACTATGACACATTCGATTTAGTCACACAAATATATTTGAAATATATTCCAGGGAAAGTAAGATTTCCTACCCTGTGATTCCAAACTGGGCTTTAAATGTCGCGTTATAAAAGCAAATGATTCCCGAGATGTGTCCTGCAAACTAAGGAAGCTCTTTAAACTTTTTTAAATCGATGTTTTCCCATTGATCTTTTCTGATCATGACGTATGCACATAGAAGTTTATAATTTCACCCTAAGGCCGCAGCATCAGGGCTCTGATCTCCAGAAAGCAAAACTAATTTCATCACTGACAAATACAGGCAGGTCATGAATTATTCTAATATTCAGAAGTCAGCGAGGAACGAGCAGAGACGCATGCGTACACAATAATCCAATCTCTATTAGGGAAAAAATAACTATTTTAGTTCGATTTTTTAATGCGAAGTAGACTATTGTGTCTTTTGCGTTTTTAATTTTTTTGCAGAAGTTATTTTTTAAATGATAAATTAATAAACTAATGACGGGCTAAACTGTTCCACTGCTAAGGAAACACACATTTATTTGAATACATATATCTATTTATAGGCCAAGAACTCTCAATTTGTCCATCATTCATAATAAAAGAAAGTTACGAATTTAAACATTTAAAGTGAGCGTTTAGAGTGCTTGGACGTCCCGAGGCTAATAGTATTCATTTAAAACGAAAGCTTTTCAGCCTTATGTCGGGCGACGATCTGTAGCACTGCAAATGCAGAACTGTTTAAAGAAAACAATCCATTTACTGTCCTTTTTATGAGAAGCGAGGGCATAAACAGAAAATAAAAGTATTTTATTGAGCAGACGAAGACTGTGTGACAACAGACCCACAAGAGAGGACCGATTAACAACAATAAAAAGTGAGTTTATGTACACATTTACTTTAAATAGGCCTAATAGTGTTTTTTTTACAATATATCTAACTTGAAAAACTACATTAAAAATAATATTTTGATAAGTTATCAGCGTAGACCGTTGGCGCCAATATACATTTCAGGTCCAGATGTTTGTCATGATGCGGATGTAACGTAAGAAAACATCTGTTGTGATCGTGGCCGAAATGTGATGTGCATCGTCACTCGTGCTGTAGCCAACCTTTAAATATACATTTGAATCAACAGTGATTCGTAGTGGAAAAAAACATTTTAATAAAAAAAGTAGCTTATTAAAAAAAGCTACGCCCCAACAAATTAAAAACACAAAATTCTTGATGTATAGAAGTTTATTTAAGAGTTAGATGTAACCAATAAAACTAAACTGCCCTAACACTGCTCAGAGGGACCAATTATAAATAACCCTGTAGAATAATACTTCTTTTTTTTTTTCACGCAGTAGCCAGTTCCACACTTTGCCAAAATACATCAGAAGTGCAAAGTAATCTGTTTTCCTGAGAAACAACTGGAGTCACTCTTTATTTAAAGCTGAACTGTCACTTTTTTCTGGAGTTGAAGAGCCATTCCTCCACACTGCAGCCCCCCTGCACTAAAGTGAGTGGATTTGGCAAGTGCATTGACAGAACCATTTAAACACCACCATTAAATGCAACATGCCTACCTCGAGGAGAGCTCTGCAGTGTTATCATTGAAAAATGTTGCAGCCAGATGAAGGCATCGTGGCTCTGGGGAAGATGCTTTGGGCTTTTGCCAAACCCTCAGGCGTCAACAGGCTTTTGCTGTTATGTGTGGTCCGCAATGGGAGATATATTGCTCAATGCTGACGCTTTATCTTCATCATGATGACAAAAGTCACCCCAAAGGGAGTTTTCTGTGTGGCAACTTGTAAAACTGTTTACACGGCAACACAACTTTTAGAGTCATTCTGATAGATGTCACAAGTGTTCGGGTACACCAAAAAGGAGCAAATAAAAAAATAAAATGTTTCAGATATATGGTGAAACGTCTAATGTGTTAACTTTTACAATAAATAGCACGCAAAAATAAGAAAAGCATGAATAAGTGAATTACATTTATTAGTTACTTGATGTATTTTTGGCATATGCTGCATCACACCTTATTTTCACACTTAATTTAGAACACTTGAACACTTTTTTTCAAATGGTTTCTTAAAAAACACTTTTTTTTCTTCTAATTTCACAAAGTGATTCAGCTGTAGAAAAACAGTTTTAAATCTAAGGGCTTAAAAGTGATTCCAAAATACATATTAAGATATTTTGGATCTCTAAAATCACCTATTGTTCTGCAATATTGATGAAGTTTTGTGCAGATTACTGCCTAACTTTTAAATGACTATGAGAGAGTGAATGAACGTATTTCTGCACAGTAGTGGCTCAGGTTGGCGGGTTTGTTTCTGTCAGTACATTTTAATCAGGGACTGTCCCACGGCGACAGCAGGGATGGAGTCGTCTACCTGCTCACACAGCGATGAATGAAATAAAACCCCCGGAGCTGATCGAGAGCTGAGGAATGCAGGTCAGCCCTGCAGGAGAGCTCTGCATTAATCTGAGGCAGATGCGGATTACTGGCTCCTATAGTTATTATTCATACTCCCCAAACATCAGATCTCAAAAGCCATACAGAGGGTCCCTGAGATGACAAAGTGGGGCTGGTTTACATAACCCTGTCTCAACAATACCTAGTATAAATAAGCAATGTGTCAGAAATGGACATCGAGATTGGGTAATGATTTGAGGGCCTCGGAAGAAATGAGAGGGTGTTGCACACGTGTGGGAATAACTGTTTACAAGCTAAAGTGCTTTACTGAAATATATCGCTCTGACATTCATTGCCTGAAATAGTCTTTTTTGCTTCATCATTTTAAACCATTATTGCTTTCTGCCACAGAGGTAGTTTTGTAAACACTAACGTATAATGAAAATATTATTACATTTTCTTTATTAATTTGAAAGAACGTAAGGGCATCTAGGGAAACATCTGAAAAGTAGAGATAATGGTGCTTTCAGGCCTGTAGTTGACACTGAGGTTGAGCTCTGCATTGCTGATGTACAATGCAATGTTTGTGGAAGCACTGGTGTTCACTAAAGGCTGTTTGTCTCATCCTCTGTCTTCTTACAAAATAACATTTATAACATACAGCTTTGTCCATTTTTGAAGTTTTAAATAACCCCTACTCCCTTCAGCAGGATTTGAAGCATCCTGTGATATGTAAAACAATTTTCTCTGCATATGAAAACCAAAACAAGACACACAAAAAGTCCTGGCAGCCAATGAAAAGCCTCCTGTCAAAATACAGTACTCTACATGCTCGGGGAAGTGATGTCACAGGATATGCATGTACTGATGACTAACACATTGTGTCCATGTTAAAGTCTGAATGACACCTGTGATCATGCCGCGAGAGTCTGTGAACCAGAATACATTTGAATATATAATGAGAAAGCTTGCAAAGATGAATTCTGGCTTGTGTAAATGTAAGGGTTTGTACAAATGTGTGAGCTGCAACAAACCTGACTTCCACTGAATGAAAATACATTTAAGTCTTAAAACGCCTCAGATTTCCACTCAAAAATGTGTCTCTCATGCCTTACCTGAGAACTGCATGCATGCCAGATTTAAGAGATGCTTTGGAAACTTTAACCAGCTGGCGCACATTCTGGTTCTTTACCTTTCCTTCCTAGATTCTTATAAATGACCTAATCTGACCTCTGCAGGAGTTCTTGAATAATGCAAACGTTTGGTCACACAGTATGTTATATGGACAAAAAAACACATTTGACCTTTTGTCACGAAATGTGAACTCTAAAAAGCCAACTATGACAGACAATACTAGAAACAATTGGGCAACACAGAAGCATTATAATCCCTTTTTGGTCCATCACTACAAGTTCTCTTTCTCAGCTTGCTTTTCAGCTTGCTTTCAGCAGAGGGAAACGGCACATTTAGCTTGTTTCTAATTAAAGCAAGGGGTGAAAAGTAACCCAAGTCATCATTGTGCGTGTGGCGCAGTGGAATAGCATGCGTTGGTGTTCGGATCAGGGGGTCACAGGTTCAAACCCCACTGCAGTCAGCCTGTCGTTATGTCCCTGGGCAAGACACTTCACCCCAAATTGCTCCTGTGGGGATTGCCCACAGTATTGAGTATGTAAGTCGCTTTGGATAAAAGCGTCTAACAAGTAACATGTAATTGTGTGAAACCTCTTTCACCACAAACTTTCTTTATGCTTCTCCATGAAGAAAAGAGACAAATACCTCATAAATCTGGGATTCAAGACAGTATGAATGTGGTCATGGAACCATTTCATGAAAACAGACAGGGAGAGACTAACACGTGATTAATTACATAATGTATAATTAGTTTGATTTCAAGTCCTTGTCATTCTCATTTCTTCATTCCAGTAATTTGATGCCCCTTTTTGTACTTAATGTTTAACACCACATTTAAGCTATATTATTATATAATGATAGTAATAATTTAATTGTATCCCCACCTTAAAAAGGTTAATGTTTTTTCTTAGGAGAAATAAAAGTAATATTTCAAGGACAAACTCCTTGAAATATGAAATGTATTCATTTTGGCATGCATCTAGCTGCAAACACTTAACAACTTTTAAAATGAAAGCTTTTATCAATTTATAATTTTATCAAGACGCTTTACAAGTTTGTTTTCCCTTCCATAAAAAAAAAGAATCTCAAACTATTTTTGAGCTATTTGATATGAGACAGTGACAGGTATACCAAGGTATTCTGACAGTAGTGAGGTCATGATCGTGTCAATATTTCAGGAGCTGAGGCTGAGCAGAGATATTTTTTGGTTTCCCAGGGAATCGGCATTCCTGCATGAGCCGCTGGCATAGATCTCTCCTCAGGAACATCTGGGAGCCTCCCTTTCTCTGAGGAAACAACAGTCAACATCAGGACTGTGCTCCGGGAAAAATAATCCAGCCCTAAGCGTGTCTGCGAACCAGAAATTAATATAAAATTGATTTGCCACCAAAGCCAATATTTGACTTTATTTGCTCCATATAAGGTGTGATAAGTGGAGAGCCATAGTGGCAGACTCCTGCCAGCCTCCAGTGTTTTGAGAGAACATTTTGGAGCACTCTGTTTAAAAGCATTCCCTTCCCTATTTAGTGTTTGGTCATTAACCCTTCCCCAGGTTACTAATTTATAGTGTTTCTTTTATTTGGCTTCACTTGACCCTCCCCGTCCCATTCCATAAAAACTGAGAGGGTGCCCTGTTGCTTTACAACCAGTTAAATTACACTTTGATGTTTTCTCTCTGTTTTCAGCAGTGATTAAATTGCTGATCCTAGTAAACATCTGACCTCGGCTAACTGAAGAGGTCTGCAGCTTGTCACAGAGTAACTTTGGCAAATTGCAGGATCAGCCAGTGGCATTCGCTGCATTTATATATACAGTACTTTGACGAATACTGAAATTAGAACAGTCAAAAACACATTCCTCTGAATGCCAAAAAAATCGAGCCAATGCAGTGGAATCCTGGCTCCAAAAGAAAGTGTGTGATGGCTATGTTTTCCAGAATAGCGTGCAGAAAAGACAGCTCAGCATGAGAGTTACTGGAAGATGTTTGTGGCAAAGGACTGTGTTGTTAGCGTGACAGAGAAAGATAGATTTTGGAGTACTAGGAAAGATGTTGATTAGAGCAAAGTAGATTCTTCATTGTGGTGAAGCCTGTATAAGACTGAGAACCGTAAAGAAAAAGTTTAGACTTTTGAAACCACTCTTGATAATGAAGCTGCTTAGCTTAGAACAAAGACTGGAAACTGGGGGAAACGCTATGGCTCGGTGTAACTATAACAAATTCTGACTACCAGTACCTCTAAAATTCACCAATTAACAATTTATGTCTTGTTGATAGAACTTCGTTACAATTTTTATTGTGGGTTAACTTTTTTTCTAAATCGAAATAAATAGTCACATAATGACAAAATTGGAAATGGTCAGCTATTGATGCTAAGCTAGTAAACACTAAACAGTTGCTCAAAGTAGCTTTCATATTCACTGTACTAACATTAAAGTGGTATAACTATTCTCATCCATCCAAGTGTATTTCCTTAAATGTCAAACAATTCCATTAAACGTAACAATGCAGGTTCCAACTTCAAACCTTTGCAACATCTATCCCACCATCCTCCCCCTACAGGATATATGCCTTGCTCAGGGGCATGACTGCATTTTCTCTCCCAGATGCACATGCAAAGCAGGAACCTGGAGTTGACCTGTATTATTTCTTAACATTGCATGCTCCTGCCCAGGGGTGAAAAGAAAATATTGCACGGTGCTCCAGCATTAGAGGCCAGTGCAGGGGTAGAAGGTGATGTCAGTACATCTGCCTGCGTGGAGACTGTAAGAGGGTCTGACAGGTGGGCCACAACGATATGAGGTCATGAACTCCAGCTGGGCGAGCTGTGTTGTTCCATTAGTGTCTCTATCGGGGCAAGTCTGAGCCGGAGAGCAGGGGGGGGGGGCTGCTGCGGTATCGAGAGGATGACTATTGACATCCCATTGTGGAACACATAGCCAAAGGCGTAGTAATCCATGAAAACAAACAGGCACGCTGTAGACAGCCACCGCCTAGCTTCATCACTATAAAACTATTCAGTCGTCTTACTAACCACTAACTCACTTGGCTCTGAGAGTCACCAGCGCCACAAGCTGTCAGCTCTCTTTCCCTCGCTGCGTTTCTGAGAGTGACAGCAGGACATTACTGACATCACTCTTAACAAAAATGCAAAGCGACAAAGTAAAATGCTTAACTATTAAGTTAATTATCCTCAACTTGATAGAAGTCAGCGACAAATGTTTTTAGAATAAAGTAATGCTGTTGTTGCGCAATAATTGCAGTCTCTTTATGTAAGACCATTATGTGCTGGTCTGGGACCAACACAGTTAGGACAGGCGCTCCCAGTGCCCAGTCGCAGGAAAGGCAAACAGAGACTGACAGAGCACACTGTTCTCACTGGCCCGCAACCAGACCCCTTCAGCTTATTTATTCATACAGCTGTTTGTTTATTGAAGGAGAAGGGACAGCTTTCTTCATCTCCTAAAAGGAAACAAAAAAGCTAGCAAGGGTTGACAGGAACAGAGCAAGGTCTGTCACAAAATGGACTCTCTCGAAATTGAAGGTGACAAACACAATTTTGTTTACATCTCAGGGGCAAGGCTGCGGGGCACAGGCAGTCGTACATAAGGCCCGCCATACACGGCTCGAGATGGAGCGGGTTTTGGCGTGGCTCGGGTTTCAGGTGGCGTGATTTAGAGATGTGAGGGAGAGGGCTTCAAGGGTTGTGTCACAGGTCACGCCAATGTGTAGTGACATAGCTTTCAAACAGAAATAGCATTTATTTTCTTGTTGCAAACAGACAGGGCTTTTGAACCTTAAAGTAAGACATAACAGAGGTGATGTAAGCTTTAAGTGAATGTCATCTTGTGGGGATGTTGTAATGTGATGATGAGCAGACACTCCCTGGCTTCAACGTGAGGCACCACGGTTTTATTCAGCCACTTTTTAAAGAAAGGGTGGCTCTGCTGAAGAGTTTGATTAGTAGCAACTATGATTATAGCACAATTACTGACAACATGTGGCTTTATTCTTTCAGCTGTAAAAACGTTGGTTCTAATAGCTTGTTTTAAAATAATAATATTACAGAATAAATATGTTTTGTGTTGCATCTGAAGCCACACTAAAACTGTTGAGAAAACTGCAACGGTTGTTTTGGTTGAGTCATACGATTGGAATTAGTCACACGTCAACTGAAACTGCTCAAAGGTTTATTTTGTATTTGAAACAATGTCACAACTAAACTTTCACATCTCCAGTGTCTGGTCTGAACTTTCAGAGCAGTACTGTCAATCCACATCAAACACTTAAAGGGGCTCATCAGTGATGTACTCCATACAGAATAGATCAAGACTTTTGAAGCAGAGACCGAATGTCCTGACTTTCATTTTCTAGCAAAGGTCAAACTCCAGAAACCCTAAATCCTTAATTTCCAACAAGGCAAACATACAGCGCCATTCATTAAAGCCGCTACTTTTAAACCACACACCTTCAGTTAGAGTCCAATGTGAGGCAATTCTTTTCAAACAATGTGTAAACATGTGTAAAAATAAGAGAACAAATGACATTTGATTGTAACGTTCCACACGTTCTTTTTGAGTATTTATTCATCTCATATTTACAGGAAAAGACAACAGCGGCCTAACAGAGTCCGAGTTAGCCCCAAGCGGCGACTCTCCCGGGATGGAGGGCAGCTACCTGAACCTGAAGGCGCCGGGCGAGAAGGGGCTGAACGAGCGGACGGGATCTGACTTTTCCAGCCCTCTGGACAAAAGTGAGGTGGAGAGCAACAAAGGCAAGAAGAGACGCAATCGCACCACGTTCACCAGCTACCAGCTGGAGGAGCTGGAGAAGGTTTTCCAGAAGACACACTACCCAGATGTTTATGCCCGCGAGCAGCTGGCACTGAGGACAGATCTGACAGAGGCTCGTGTGCAGGTGAGAACATCAGGTTACATGTGAAAAACTCCTTTCTGCATTGATTAAAGCCAACAAGTCCTCCAAGTTCCAAAAACTAAAAATGCCATTTAAATATGGTTTCTGATCTTCTGAAAACATAATCATTCCAAATAACCTTTTAGAATACATCAGTTAAATGTTGATGATGTGAAAATACTATGATTACATTTTGGTTAGGTTTAGGCACATTGATAAGAAACATGGAAACACGGTGGTTTGGGTTAAAAGTTACTACTTTGTTAAGGTTAGAGGAGATTTGCTGTCATGGTTACAATAATTACCATAACACATGTTGTTAAGGAATAGGACAAACTGCATCATGCTTGAAAAACAAACAAAAAAGAAACCGCGGTTTCACAAGTCCATCCACCCCGGCCCCAGTTTAACGGTCTGATTTCCTCCTTTGATATCATCAAAATTACTAGTCACTCAAGAGCTTTGTCACTTTGAACATGGTCATTTTGGGGTATTTGGTTAAACAACAAATAGTGCCGTTCCTTCTTGAGAGGACGGTCTCCACGAGCTATGTTGAAGGATTGTAGTTATTAATGTTGCGTGCTAATAACCACTCAGGGAAATGACAAAGAGGGCTGGAAGAGTTAAGACTGGCATGTTGACAGAGATTCTTCAGAGCTGCAGACAGCGAGGCCTATTGTTCTTCCTCTCTCTTTCTGCCTGCCAGTTGTAGATCAGAGTGGGATGGATGTAAGGGAATATTCTGCTCTTAGCTCTTACATGCTGCAGACTCTGCTGAAAGGTCAGAGGCCAAGGGTTTCTCCCCAGCACTACAATGTTCAAAATACTTCACCGCACAACTCTTCAGGCAGGGAGGGGAAAACACATGCAGAGAAAAAAAAGAGTCATCAAAGCTATTGGCGAGGATGTAAAAAACACTTTGAGATGCCACTTTCAATTTCCCAGCCTGGACCAAGACATAGTCAGGGACAGAGAACCTGGTCTGGTCCTCGTGGTGGTACAGTAAAATAAGTACATTCATGTTGCATTCACACAGACCCATCTATTCCCCAGATGAATGTAATTAACTTCCTCATATGAAAGGCCCACAACAGACTGTTGAGTCACTGTGAAGTTTGACCCATACTTTTAAAATCAGAACCTAAATATGTACGCAATCAAGACTAAACCCCACAATTTCAACCGAAGGTCTATCAAGACAAAGTCCAGGGATATCCAATTGTTGAATACCAAGGGGCACTCGAAGCTTGGCAAGCGATTGGAGAATCCTTTTCATCTTTATAACAACAGCCATTCAAATACAGATGTTTTCTGCCAAAATGCCAGTGTCAAGGTCCTACAGTTTCATCCTGAGTTTGATGATAAATGTGTTCATAAAGTCGGGCTGCATTTTTCCATAATCACATCTGTGACTTTTGCTGCCACTAGTTTATTTAGTACAATTAGCTCTCAACCTCAGACCTGAACTTCACCACACTGCCTACTTCTTTCGAGAAGGAGACTGTGTCTGAGTGACTGCGGAGGCAGTCTATCAATCGCCTTGGTCCTGGATGACAGAGATGAGGTGAGACGGCTGGACTTCAAAGCTGCTTTTGGAGTTGTGCACTCTGCCCTCCCTCTTTCTTTCTTTCTTTCTCCGCCTGCTGGCTCTGGAGCATAAATAAAGCTCTTTAATGGCTCTGTAAGCTGCCTTTTGCTGTCAACGTCTTTAGCAATTACTGTATCACCGCCAAGCACTTTGAGCTCCATAGAGCTCTGAGCCACTTTCCTTGCAGATGTCCGCTAGATAAAATAAAGAAGAGCAGTAAGTGTTTGCGGTTGATAAATATCCTTTTGGGTTTCAAATGTAGGATGCATCAGCATTTAATATTATGCGAAAAACAATGATTTTGTGTTAATTTAATTTCTGCTTGTGAAAAAAAAATCCTAGCTTTCTTTTCTAATGAACTGAGAAGTCAGGGAATAAGAGACGCAGAGCCACAGAGGACACATCTGACTTCATAATGTTCCTCGAATGATCTTCCTGCCAAACTATTTGGCTTGAGCCTCATTCAGACTGCTGTTCAAAGGCAAAGCTACGTAGAGCAAACCCTCTGTGAAACATGACACACTCAGTATACCAGAAACCAAGACAAGGGCCATGTATGACCTCAATCATTGTTTCCTTGTCTATAAAAGGCTCCAGTAAGTGTGTGAGTGTCCATGTTAAAAGAACACATTTGTAAGTGACTGACTTTGAATCTTATGTATATATAACAAGGTAAATGCATGTGTTTTCTGTGAGTGTATGTGTGCTGGGTCCGCTGCTCTCATCTGCACGCCTCCCAAAGGTCAGAGGGGTTAGCTGCGGAAAGCCAAGGGCTTAGGCGTCAGGAAATTAAACATGAAATGAAAACAAGCTCCAGTTTGAACATTCTCCCATCTCACTTTCAAATATCCACACTTCCCCTCGCTGACTTAAAAGGGAGGAGGGAGGAGAGAGACATGGAGCGAAGGGTCGGCGGTGTGTTGGGGGAGGGGCTGGAGGGGGAGAGAAAGAGCTTCAACAGAGAGGTGGGAGTACGACAAAGAGATTAGGAGTAAAGGATTCAAGTTGGTTTATCACGGTCCATCACAATTAAGACGACAGCTCGGTAACTGATAACACTTTCATTAAAAAGAAGAGTAGTGGAGCAGCTTTTAAATACTTAAATATATACATGAATCTTACCGACATTTTACTTTATCCACAGTTTGTGCCTTTCATGTATTACCATTTCATTTGAGTCACTATGTCACTATAGAGCTAATGATCCAACTTTATTTTTACTGATTTCCTGGTGATCTTTGAAACTTTAAAAAAACTCTAACCACTGAATTCAGAATCCTAAAAGACTGAATATAAAAAATACTCCATCAGCTACACAATACAATATACAAAACAATAAATACACTTCCTGAGGTGTATTTAGGAAGTCCGATATAACATTCGTCCATGCCTTTTTGGGCAGGCAGAAAAGTGCACCTCTGACAAATCAAACCCTCCTAATACTAAAAACAACTGTTGGTGAGTTTTGCATTGATCACTCTCAACACGGCCCTTTGTGTTGAGGATTATATTTAGAAACCTGTGATGTTATGAGCTCACATTACTGATGAAGAACCAAAGGAAATACACGACTAAACCTCAAACAATAATAGACCCCCAAATCCTCAAGGGAGCATCACATAGACTGTGAACCCCCCTCCAAACATATGATATAATTCAAAGGGCAACAACCCCTCACCTTGACATTGGGGTTCAGCCACAACCTAGGATATCAGTTTACCACTTTTCAGGCGTGAGCTGTCCTCTAATCTCACCAGCTGACCCAAGGAATGTCGGAGTCAGACAACATTTCTTTACGTCACCTTCTTGCAAAAACAGTCAGCGGCTTTGTGGAGGCGATATATGGTACTTCCTTTGAACATGACCCAGCTAAATATTTACTTCCAGTCAAGAAAATTGAGGTTTGTGTGCATGTTGTGGCACTTAAAGTTGTTATTATCCAATTTCATAAAAATTCTCTCCTGCTCAGTAAGAGAAACTCAAAATGGGATCATATCTTTGTGCGACATTGCTCATGTTTGTCACTTGACTCCATTGTGTTTAACTTGATTGGGAGAAATGGTGAGAGAGAAAAAAGAGCGACGAGGGGGGATTTGAGGAGGTTGACTGAGGGGAAATTGGATGTCAGGACTGTGAAAACCACAAGCTGATTGGGCTGGGAATCAACCCACAATCCCAAGTTAAAACCCCTGAGTCGAGGCAGGATCGCTCTCTCTTTTCTCTTTGAAGAAGTTTCCCTTTCCCTCTTGGGAGGATAAGATTCAGACAACCAACAAATACGTACAAATAAACATGTGGAGACGTTCAGTAACCCCCTTAGCTCCTCTATTCGCCTTTATAGGTTTGTGAGAAAACTTTGTAGAAAAAAAGCTAAGCAAAAAGTTATGACTTATTATATAAAGGAACAGTAGAGATGCATGCTAAGGAAAGGAGGATATAAATAAAAGGGGCTCCTGGCCTCAAGGAAAAAGCAGCAAACTCATATTTCAGAGGTTGGAACAATCGAATGTTCATTTTAGCTAAAAATTCAAAATGTTCTCTACAGATAATTTAATAAGGATTGTTGCAACTCTAAAGCATAACAGTCATGTTTGGCCACTTAGTTGTACAAATAACTGATATTGAAACAATACAGAGCATTCGACACAAAGCATAACGGAAACTAAATAAATGGCAAAGAAATGCATTGTTTGCAAGCTAGTTAAATATCTATAGATATCTATCCAAAAGCTTATAATGTCACTGAGGCTCCTTTTCATCTTAGTAACATCTATTTTGTTTTGTTGTTTCTGTTTAAGCAGGACATTTGTCTCAAAAGGATTAACCTTCTTCACATCATAAGAAACCCTCCACTTAAACCATAGAAATGCAAACTCCCCCAATAAACGTTCAGGACAGTGTACAACAGATGACGTGGTATGGAGTGCACATAAAAAGGAGCATAGTAAATTACATTACATGGATGGAGAATACCGAGACCGCAGTAAAAATATTTCAGTGTGTTTCTCTTGGGATACACAATTTATCTCGTATCACTCCTTTCACCATTTATCCCTGCTTTCATGCACTGCCTTCCACAGTTAGGGAACAATGTTCTTAATATACCTGCACCTGGTCTGTCAGCAGGTACTGAAAGCAGCCCACAACCTTCTGCAGAAGAGCAACATACTTCATAAACCGCATCCAGTACTTTATAATCTCAAAAGACGGACAAAAATATATATTCTTGGTCAAAAGTTGAACTTTGGTTTCATAGATTATGAAGAGGGATTCCCCACTGTATCCCACTGTGCTGACATGTGGGGGAGAGCACACCTCTCTCAGAGTGATTTATGAATGGCTACAGGCCCAGATGTGGATCTGTCGACGCTGGCAGCCTGAAGGGAGGCAGACGCTTGCGTATCAAAGGGAGGAGCGGATCCGTGCAGCACCAGGGGAGATGCACCATTTTCACATCAATTGCACCATGTGGACGGCACTTTAAAGACACGTCAAGTCTTAAAACCTGGGCATGGACTTTCATGTGCAGCAGAATTTATTTGCTTCACTATCTTTATCTTATGTGGCTCAGTCTCTTACTTTGTCTTGCTGAGGGGAAGAGCTTTGACTCTGCAAATAGAAAAAAGTACTTGTGTTTGCACGTGATGTGAGATATGAGAGATGTGTTTAATGTTTGATAAAGCATTGTTTGGTAGTGGCCGGTCTGAATTTTGACTGTTGGATTGTTTTCTTGCAGGTGTGGTTTCAGAATCGCAGAGCCAAGTGGAGGAAGAGGGAGCGTTACGGTCAGATGCAGCAAGTCCGGACTCACTTCTCTACTGCTTACGAGCTGCCTCTACTGACCCGGAACGAGAACTACGCTCAGGTACAAATTAAACCCAAAATAACAGATATTTCTGGCCACCTAGAGGCAGCTGAAACAAATTATGAAAACAACATTGACAAAAGCATCATATTTTACATTTATACGGCAAATTTGTTAGCAATCTGGAGAGTATAGTCCAATATTAACTGGTTTCTCTTGAGAATAATATTGGACTCTTGCTAAAGGACACAACATTATCTCACTTCTTAGAGAAGCCAATCCATTTACTAAGTCCGCAACCAAAACAACCCAAGTTACGTAACAGGCAGCTCTATGCTGTCGTCTCCTCCCTATAGCCAAAATAGCATCTTTAAATGCACAAAACACCCTGCAAAAGTTGCTAACTGTGTTTTGGTGTCGAGCAGGTGATGTATATTGAGCTTTTCTATTGAACACAGTGACAGAAACACTATGAGAGCAGAATGAACTACAATATTAAAGTTGTGTGCTGGGTAGCTCAACATTAAGATGAAACTTGCTATAATGCTACTGAAAATGGGTAAAGATGCAGATTCAGATTCTCAGTTTTTCCCTCCAAAAGACCAATTGACATGTGATCTTGATCATAATCCCTGCTCTTCCCCTCCAGATCCAGAACCCTTCATGGATCGGCAGCAGCGGGGCCTCTCCATTGCCAGGTTGCGTGGTGCCTTGCGACACTGTGCCCTCCTGCATGCCGCCTCACCCTCACGGTCCTGGAGGCGTCTCTGACTTCCTGGGCGTGCCCAGTCCAGGGAGCAGCCACATGGGACAGACGCATATGGGCAACCTTTTTGGAGGGGCCGGGATGAGCGGGGGAATCAATGGCTATGATCTTAATCTTGATCCAGACCGCAAGTCTTCCAGCATAGCTGCGCTGCGTATGAAGGCCAAGGAACACAGTGCAGCCATCTCTTGGGCTACATGATGTCTCAGCCCAAGTCCTCCCAGCCCCCATTGGCCCTCTTCTCTGGAGCAGCCATCAGCGTGGGGGAGGAGGGAGTTTTCCTGAGAGCACTAAATGATAACGCAGGTCAAATGAACAGGGGGGAGACTGTGGAGATAACCGAGGCCATTACAGCGGCCAACGCAACCATGATAACAACTGTGACTGTGACAGTCCGCAGATGCTTAAAGTGAGAGAAATCCAGAGGTGTGACGCAGAAGAAGATGTTACTAGGACTTTGTGTTCATTCTTGATTCCTTGATTTCTCAGGTCGCATTGAAATATGGGGTTTAGTCCCTGAAACTGGGTATCATTCAGAAATTGAGAATAAGCAATATAATAAATATGGTTTACGGGATTAGTTAATAAAAATACAGAAATTCAGTGCCAAAGCCAGTCGTATCTGCAGTACTATAAATGAATAACTAAGCTTATGTTATTAAGTTCCTTATTGTTTATACCACCCATCCTGCCCCACTCATTTTGTTTGTTATACTTTATAATAACTTTTATAAATGAGTTCAAGTACATATCTGAAGTTGTGTTTTTAAAAGCCATTCAAAAACAAGGCCAAGCTCAGATGAACACCAAGATGCTAAGAGCTACTTTTCTGCCGCTTTCCATTGCATCCAATAATTGGTTTATAAGAAACTTCAAAAGTTTTCTAAGGCTCCACCGGGTAGTTTATTTGCCTGTAAAGAAGGACAGAGGTTGAACGCAGTAAGGTAACAGAGACTAACTGAGTGAGAGCAGACATGGCCTGTGCCAATTTATTCTGGGAGGAGGGCAGGCACTGGATTGGCAGCAGTTTCAAACCAACGTGTCATTTCCTCCCCCAGGGCTGCCTGCACAGGTTCCCCTGCTAGGCCCGGGCCTCAGGTTACAGGAAACACCGTCTCCACTGGCAGACGAGGCACAGCAACGCACAGCAGCAGCCTTCAACACCAACTAGCCATGCCAGCTTCAATCAGCCACCAACAGGAATAGACACACTTAATTAGCCTCAAAGTAAGCGGCAGTACATCACAGTGAGGACACACTGCACACACAGGTCAATACGCTGTAACAATCAAGTCATGCTCAGACGAGGGCTCAGCAGAGATGACTCTTGGATTTGTGGCTCGCTCACAGATTCGTCACATGCCAGAGACGGCAGGTCTGCATCAACGGCATTCTGCAATGTTTAGGTAATGTGATGACTTTAGAGCCGGGTGGATATGTCCCGTGATTGCATGAGTGTCTCTGTGCGTTACCCCGCAGGAAAACGCTTGTGACCAGAGCTGGGCTGCAGGCTGAGGTTAGAGGAAGGCTTCATTAGTCTTTTGGCTGATCTCTGTGATGCCCGCTTGGCTACATATCCGTTTCCTTTCCTCGGCAGCATGATGGCAAGAGAGTCTGGTTCTGCTCCTCAGAGGCGGTTGATCATTTTAACATACGAGTGCCCTTATGCATGATTAGGATTGCGTCCAACGACTATTATTAGCATAGATTAAATGTAGGTATTTCAACCATTGACAGTTTGGTCTATAAAACGCCAGATAAACAGTGAATAATGACATTTTATCCAAATCTATTAAATACAAGAGGGGACATCTTCAAATATTGTTTTGTTGCACCAACCCCCCCCCCCAAAAAAAAGCAGCCACAACGTGAAAGGTTGGAACTAGGGAACATTTGCCCTTTTTGCTTGTAAGATTATTTAAAATTATTATAAATATTGTTGTTTATACATTTTCTGTAGCCCCTTTATTGCAGCTCTACAGTTCCTCCATTTTTTTCAAAGGATTTTTTTTATTTTCTAGATAACTTATATCATCCAGTGATCAAATGTATTGTTGTTGCCTTCAAATTAAGCTCTTTTCTGTCAACAGTTAGTACATTTGGTGACAACACAATGGTTATTATAACATTAGTGTTCATGCGGTTAATATCATTTCCACAGAGGGTTTATCAGCAGAATTAAAAAAATTGCATCATCTGAAAAAATGAAGTCCATTAAAATGAAACCAAGAAATATTTGAATCCATTAATTGATAAAGGCTTTGTTCGATGTGACGACTCAAAATAAAAACATTATCAGAGAGATGTTTAAGATAAAAACAGAATGTGGTCAAATAAATGATTACTACTTTGTGGAGTTGGTCTTCTGGCTGGCCGGCCCTCAGCGCTCCACTCCTCTGCAGCTCCGTCCGTGTTGATACTACTGAAATAAAGCAATTGAAATCCATAGTTATAATGTTGTGAGAATGTGAACAATATAAATGATATTGTTCTTTTGCGTGTACATTTATTTTGCTTATTTGTCAAATAATGGACCTCCAGAGATAAACCATTGAAGTATTACAGTAATATTGCCAAGAAATGTAAAAATAAGTTGTGTGTGTTAATCTTAAGAGTTGCTCTGGACTTTTACCAAGGTCGAAATTGCTTTCTAATTTTCTTATGGCTTTAAGCAGCTTTTTGTATATTAATCAAGTATTTCTACTTCTGATTGTGACTTTATATAATGTGCCATTGCAATAAGTTATTGCGCTTACAGTGTTGGAGTTTTCCTTTTTAATGTTTGAATTGTCTCCTAAGGCCGTCCATATACTAGCACCATGAACAGTTTCATTAACATCTGTAAGGTGTCTGACGTGTGTCTGTACAGAAGTAACTTGCTGTTTCTGTTGATTTTGGTTTTAAAGCGATTTCCAAATAAATGAATCTCCAATGTTTGAATGAGTTCAGATCTCTTCTTCTTTTCCAACTTTCTCAGTTATCTACTGTAACCTTTAAAGTCATACATGATCATCACAATATACTGTCCAAGTTACATTTTTGTGTCAAATACTCAACATCTTTCTGCATTTCATACATTGTGAAGTTTAACATTTTGAAAGTACTGTGATTGAATAAAAATACACAACAATTTAAAAAACAAACCCAACGAAAACTACAACGATATACATTAAAGTGACAAACGCAACCAAAAACGGGCCCCGCACGGCTCGGCACGCTTAAAGCGAGCTACCCGCTGCAGTGGAAACGCGCCATTATGGCAAGAGTGCAATCATGACATTGAGGTGGGATCATGGGAGTTGTTGTCTTTTCCATCACTGCCGTCATTGCAGTCAGTGGTGATTAAAACTGGTCAAAACAATGAATTAAGCAGATTTACTGTAAATCTCGTATGCTCAGCCTGACAGTCTGGAAAAAAGCGTGCTTTGTGGGGATGCTCTCGTCCGGTTTGTGTTTTAGTTCATATTCTGACTTGTTCCACCTGAGCAGAGAGAGAGCTGGGTGGCGTCGCTCACTGAGGACGCCCTGTGCGTTCCTCCTGCAGTGTGTGTCTGTGGGGCAGATGATCCTCTCTGCGGTTTTGATGGCATGTTGAAGGGATTTTCTCTGGGCCTGCGTGGTGTTTCCAAACCACACGGCAGGCCTCTCAATGAGTCCACTGTAGGGTGAGGGGCTGACGTTACCTCCGTCCGTCTTCAGCACTGTGATGAAAATAATTGCTGCAGCACTTTATTTACTGTTGCGAGAGTTTTAAGCTGAGCTCAGGTTTTCTGTCATGTCGTCACATGACAGAAAACCTGAGCTCACCTTAAAACTACTAGAAACTTGTGAATGTCGGTTTGTTCCACCTCAGTCCTCTTGATGGTGAGAGGCTGCAGAGAGGGTGGGGGGCTCTCCTTCGGAAGTCCATATTTAGTTCTCTGATTTTGTCTGTGTTGTCGTCCTCTTCATAGACAAATATGTTGTTCACCAGTTCACTGTATGACGACTCAACCCCAAATTCTGATATTGCTTGGTCAGTTGTTTTGTCTTTTTTCAGCCCATTTAAACCAAATGTAATAAAACCACACCCATAGTCTTAACAGACTCTGCCATACTGAAGATGTATTAGACACTAAGAGGTAAACCAATATTCCAGACAACTTTGTGTCATCGCTGACTGGTGTTGTAGTGTCACACAAGTATCTATAAAATGTGAAATATTGCATTCTGGGATGGTTAGGGTAGCAAAAGTCTAGCGTCCTAAAATAAAAGATTTAGGTCACTTAAATAAAATGTGAATAATAAATAAAAGGAACAATACAGTAACAATCGATAATATTCGGACACAGTCTGAGTGTTAGAATTTAAGGATTAGTTCAATAATTTGGGAAAACTAACAAGTTAGAGTACAATGTGTCATTTTTACAAATCCTAACATGACAAGGTAGCAGATTATTTCCAAAAAGGTCAAACTATCCTTTTAAAAATACAAAGCAAGACTGATAAACAATGACTTAAAGAACTCAATACGACCAACGTGCATTAGCAAACTATAGAAATGTAAGGTATCAATGACTGATAAAAACATGCTTATAGTACATTTATGTGTGTGTGTGAGCCTGTGTTTGAAGGTGGATATGCGATCCAATTTCTTTTTCTTGCATCAGCAGCTTCCAGATGGGATGCTCTGCCGAAGCCATTAAGTCCAGAGTTAAGCCTAATAGTTTGAATGGGACTTAAATACCTCCAGGTGGTCTTTGGCTAACAGTGCAGTTATGGCCGAGGCGAGAGAAAGCTGTCATGCAATACAGTATTCAACATCATTTCACACAGATGTTCTTTGTTTTTGAAAACGAGCACAGTCATGTAACAAAACAGTCCTCAGAAAAAACACTTCTAATGACTTCAAAAAGTGTACAACGAAAACTACGTCTGTAATCAATCCTCCCTTTATTTCAAACGTTTGCTAAATATCATCCACAGAAGGCACAACAACTTAGGACAACTAACGTGAGACAGGGAAGGCATGGCCAGGAAAAAAACTGTGCCAATTCACATCTTGCCATTGCTTTGGTCTCTGCCCTGCGAAGAATGTTGGAGCGCTCCCATCTCTGCTCGCTCGCAGCAACAATTGGTGTCTTTTCCAGAGTTGTGCAAGAGTTTAACTGGAGCACTCTGATCGCATGAGAAAGGGAAAACTGAAAATAAGTCTGTTGTCACCCACTAAAGCCTTCAGCCCCCATACTGGAGATCAATAGGACTGCATTGAAGGGGTCGACGAGGATCTGCTTCAGGGTAGACTTATACGAATATATTTATGTATGCAATGACCTTTTGTCACTTTTATACCCTTCAGGATATTTATAACAAAGGTCAACATTTTGCGTACATAGAAAAAAATGGTTCAATGCAGTGTTAAAAAACACCTTTTTCTATTAATGTTTAATATTTTTCTTATTGTGAACAGATCTTGTGAAGAGACCAAAATCAAATACGAGTTAGTCCCTCTTTCAATACTTTTTCCGAATCCCCATAAATAGCTGGACACAATTGTGCTGGGAATTTGTTGGGAAAATGTTAAGCTGCAAATTGGGGTTCAGCAGTATTTAAATGGATTTTGTTCATAGAAATAAAGCACTTGATAAGCTGGTGCAAGAGAGTGAGGTACTGATGTGTTTTTAGTAGTTGTGGGCAATGGAAGTCCAAGGCACAGAGAAATTAGCAATGTCAGGCTTTAACTACTACTTGTTAGGAAAGTGCTCTGATAGATAGCTGTGAGTAAGTGTTGACATTTAAAACAATATCATATTATTATCACTTCATTCTTATATCATTCATTAAAACAAGCTTGCCTTAATAACCGATGATAAGAAGTAAATAAAAACGGCTTAGGCGCCCATCATGTCCCCAGTGAGACCCGCAGACTGAGGTTCCAGGTCATCACAGGACTGATACAATCAGACGCACCCAAATTACAAAATGGACCGCCAGTTAAAGAGACATTCCCCCTGCCTGCCTCTTCACTCCCCTTCTGTATGAAACATAGGTGGAAGAGATAAAGAAACCCTCGCAGAGAGGAGGAAGAGCAGCCCACTGTGCCCCGAACAGCACTCATTAAATCTAATGGGTCACGCTGCTCCAGCCAGGCTCCACTGACACCCTTAATAGAAGCCTGCATAGTTAAAGGACCATGAAGACCATTAGGGCACTTCAAAGTTCACCCCACTACACTAGGGCCCTGCTGATATAGCAAAGAGGGGACGGATCCAATTCCTCATTCACAATTTTATTTTTCCATTGCTTGGCCTGTCAATCAGCCGGCTCCATAAACAAGTGGATGCTTGAGCTGCTCATTAAGGGCCTTTGTTAGCAGGGCCGAGGCTGTAAATCTGCAGTTATATCAGCTTCCAACAAAAAAAAATCTTATTGGTCATATTTTAGGGCTGACACTTTGGCTAAAACTGTTAAATGATCCCCTTTGATTTGAAAAAGAAGTTGGTGCTTGCACTGTAAATCAAATGTCTCCATTTACTTTTGGACCAATGCAGGGACTCAACTGTGAACCGTAGAGAGGACTGGAGCCAAAATAAATGACAAGCCCGCTGACCAGTAAAACAAAAACTACTCAATACATACTCAGACATGTAAATTCATGCAGGCCATGTTCGCTGCTATGAAACCGAAGTCTACCTCACTCAAATAACTTCTAATGACAAGTTGCTGTAAATCTAAAGAGCCAGCAGAAGCGTGATATATTGATGCCGTCCTAAGGGACATAAAAGGCCAAACAGTCTCCTGTCTCGACCATAAGTCAGCCCTGCAGCCCCTCTGCACGGCTCTGTGGAGAGGAGCAGGCGGCTGAAGAGGAAGGAACACCACATACATCACTTTGCCCAGTAAAACGTCCCTCATTACAAGCTGCGGATGCCAGTAAACAGCTCACATTTAGCTAAGCTTCTGACACGACAAACCATTCCTTAACAGCTTGGATTTAAAAGCAGTGACAAGATTTTACACAGTAAAGAAGGAAAAGAGACAGGATGTTAGCAACTGAGCTAAAATTTACATTTTAGGACTACACTTAGAATGACAGAAATGTACTGAACCCAAAATGTTGGTGTAGGAGGAGGACTTGACTTTGAGGTTTACTGAGAGGAGCATGGATACCTTACTTCCTGAGCTCTTTCTAATGGGCTCTTTGGCTGTAGGCCAGCCTGTCCTATCAACTATTTACAACTCAACTCTATCAACCAGATCACTTTAATCTCTTTTGATGCTCGTACAGTAGAGAACATCTGCAGTGTTATACATATATAAAAGCTAGCTTTTTACAGCGCCACGGCTTCCACAGATGAAATATTTGTATATATTTATTGTCAAAGCATTTAAGTTATTCATTGCTATCGGGATGTTAAGAGTATTCCATTGAATATAACAAAAAGGGTTACTGAAGTGAATTACCTACCCTACCTTTAAGGACAAACTGTTTTAAAACTGAGGTTTAAAAACGTCTTGGCTATAGACCCGTATTGGACTTCATAAACATTCCCAACCAGCTGTGATGGAAAAACACGATTTCCCCTAAAAATGCTGAATGATGGTTTGACTTCATGAGCTTTTTTATTTTGGTGTGGCAATTACAGTTTAAACTGCTCATAGTGAACAAGAAGCTTGCGACAATAATCTCTATACCAATGCTGCATAAATAGTTCTCTTAATCAAGGTGTCCACTGACTGTGTTCATTTGGGTCTCATAAAGGGCATTATATGAGGAAGAGAAAATGTATACATATACACAGGGCCGCCCCTCCCTACAGGCCAATCACGCAGGCTGCATGGGGCCCCGCCTTGCGCAGGGGGCCCCGCACAGAGGGCCTCAGCTGCTGTGCGCAGTTCTCCGCTCAGTTCTCCGCACATCCCCCGCGAGAGTGAGAGGTGACAAGGGGAGCACGTC